AGTGTAAATAGCAATAGAAAACAAAGAAAGAAAACCAAAGAAGCAGAGTAAACAAATGTCTAGATGTATAGGTTTATTTACAGATCTCAAATTAAATTATCATGTAAACAGTTAAAGGGATAACAAGAATTACACTTACAATAAGTTTAAACGATGTTCGTTACAGCTGTTACTTTTGGTTGGAACACTTAACACAATGTAATTTAAATAGGTTCTGACTTTTATTTATTTCACAAATACAAATAAGTCGTATTTAACAACTGTAACTCAAAATTGAGGTGGATATTATCAATTTACAATATTTAATTTTTAAAAATATTTGGGAGCAATTATTTTACAATTTGTCACCGGGGTTGCCACAGAGAGAAAAAAAACATTATCACCTAATAACCGCCAACACCTTTCCCACCGAGAAGCCTCAAGATAAGGTATGTCAGACCAAAGACCGGACATTGGCAGAATTATTGTGACATAACCACAATACCAAGGGCCATATTGGAAAAAAATGGTATCCGGTTCTCAGCACTCACATTACGACACAAAGCTGCATTATTATGCTACACTGCTTTTTACGATGACAGTGATCTAATGAAATAATTGAAATAAGTAACGTGAATTTTTACGAAGCTTAACATGCAGTGCGATATAGAGAAGTATTTCTTTTACTATTAGAGTTAAACTCAAGGGATGAGAGCTTTATTAAATCAAAGTTTAATTTGGACTGCCTCGTTGTTCTAATAGTCCTAAGAATGACTGCTGATCATGTGATCCAAGGTTTGTATCCAGGGTCGGAGTGAATTTAGTTATAGGGTATTTTAGTCAAGAAATTGTCAGTCAGGAGGTTGGCTATGTTTCATCACCGTACCCTGGAAAGCTGTTGATTCTGTGCCTATTCTGTCTGTTCTGTTCTGACTCCAAGAAGTGAAGGACTAAAGTGTGTATCTGTGCTCGCGCACAAACTCGTGCACTAACTTTCTGTCAGATGACAAGTCTTCCTTGAGACCGGTCGCAGTGATCGAAATTCGGTCTGGAAAACATCATTAGGTACCTCAGATAATTCCTAATGCATAATATTACAATGCCATAACGGCGTTAGACAATTTATCGCCCCTTTTCACCAAGTTCGTGTCGTAAGAGAAACCCTAGGAAATGCCAGCAAACTCGAATGGCTTCCGATTCCGCCACATGGCGGCGGTATCACCATCTCGTTTACCGTTACAGCCTATCATAAGTCCGCTGCTGAACATAGGCACCGACCACAGATTGCATTAGGGCGGAATATATGCCATAGTTGCCACGCTTGCAGGATCGGCAAACGCATTTTTATTGCAGTTGTTATTAGAAGACGCTGTTGCTCATCACCTGGTTTGTTTCCCTCTGTCGCATCTTACAACTTCCATGGCCATGGCCACCAGACGTAAAATACTCGCACTACTGGTTAGTAAATTATGTACGCTTACGTAACCTAAAAAATAATGAAGACCTTAAAATTACCACAATAAACAAACAATCTATGCAAATATAAATAAAAATATAACGCTTGGCTGACTTTGACGGCTACAACACTTATACTTATACACTTTTTTCAACAAGAAAGAGATATACATACGAGGTTAAGGAGATTGCCTGTTCCCAGTAAACTTTGCTATATAAATCGTAAGATTTCATGTTTTGTATTATTCGCAGACGTAACTCGTTCATAGTTCAACATATTCTAAAATTGTAACATATCTTCTAACTCCAAAATGACTAAGTTCTTGGTAAGTACATAATAAATAAATTAATTAATTAATTTAAAACAAAATATGTAAATCTAACTCAAAAATGCCGTGTAGTGGCGGTCAAGAATATCCACTACCCCATATCCTCCCGTGGGTGTCGTAAAAGGCGACAAAGGGAAACAGGCAGGAGATGGGCAGCAGCATCTTCTTGATAACAACAAACTAACAATAAAAAAACTGCGGTTGCCAACCCGCTCGCCAAGCGTGGCAACTATGGCAAATACCCCCCTATGAATGACAGTAACAAAGAAACGGCCCCCAGTCCCCGGCGGCCCCGCTATTCCTGGCTACGGTGGTGACCATCGTAACGGCGGGGCTGGGGGTGCTAAGAATCTCCGGTGGAGGTTCGGTTGCCACCTTAGACGACTCGACCTGGCAACGTACAACGCACGCACCCTGAGGATTGACGAGAAGATTGTGGAGCTGGAAGAAGAGATAGACAAGTTGCGCTGGCATATTATAGGATTATCCGAAGTCCGAAGAGAGGGGGAGGACACGGTAATCCTCGAATCCGGCAACTTGCTCTATCACCGGGAGGGCGACCATCTGTCCCAAGGAGGTGTCGGATTTATCGTCCACAAGTCTCTCGTTAACAACGTTGTAAAGATCGGGAGTGTGTCGACGAGGGTTGCGTACCTTATACTCAGAATCACCAAACGGTATTCGCTGAAGGTCATACAGGTTGAGGAGGTATGAGGATATCTCTAGAGCCATGCATTCCTCCAAAACCCAATATACGGTGTTAATGGGAGACTTCAATGCAAAACTAGGCACAAGAGAGAACGGTGAGCTGAAAGTAGGGAAATTTGGAATAGGGCAACGAAACCCAAGGGGCCAGCAGCTGGCCGACTTCATGGAGAAAGAGGGACTCTTTATGATGAACTCTTTCTTCCAGAAGCGGCCCCACAGGAAGTGGACCTGGTTGAACCCCGACGGTTCAACAAAAAATGAGATTGACTTCATTATGACGACCAGACGACAACTGTTCAGTGATGTCTCCGTGATCGCGAGGGTGAAAACTGGTAGCGATCACCGAATGGTTAGAGGCACACTGAACCTAAACGTTAAGTTGGAGAGGTCTCGTCTAATGAAGTCAACGATCCGTCCCCCTCTTGCTCTGTTCCAAAGTCCCGAAACCTTTCAGCTCGAGCTACAAAACGTTTTTAGTGCCTAGAAGACTGCAATGAAGTGGACGATATGAATGACAAGCTCGTGGAAACTGTCCATGCGGTCGGAGCTAAGTTCTGCAAGACCCGCCGCAGAAGAACACAAAAACTCTCCGATCACACTCTTAATCTCATGGCTGTTAGGCGGGAGATGAAGCTACATTCTTCAACAGACTTGACAGCGTACAGGCATCTGAACAGACAGATCTCCAAATGCATGCGGCGGGACTTACGCAACTTCAATACAGCTCGTATTGAAGAAGCGATCGAGCGGAACCAAGGCTCCAAAGTCTTTGCCAGAGATCTGTCTGCCAGAAAGAGCCAACTGTCAAAGCTAAAGACAGAATGTGGCAGCATCGTTTCCGGGACACCTGAGATTTTGAGTGAGATTGAGAGGTTCTATGGGCAGTTGTACACGTCATCGTTGGAGCCACACGCAAGTGTGAGTAACGATCCAAGAGCGAGTCTCATCCGACACTATTCCGAAGATATCCCGGACGTCAGTCTGAGCGAGATTAGAATGGCTCTCCAGCACCTTAAAAACGGTAAGGCCCCAGGCGAGGATGGAATTACAGCGGAGCTTCTGAAAGCGGGTGGAAAACCGGTACTTGAAGTCCTTCAGAAGCTCTTTAATTCCGTCCTCCATGGTGGCATTACACCGGAGGCGTGGAGCAGAAGTGCGGTGGTCTTGTTCTTCAAGAAAGGCGACAACGCTCTCTTGAAGAACTACAGACCGATTTCCCTTCTGAGCCGCGTCTACGTGCTGTTTTCGAGAGTCATTACGAATCGTCTCGCGCGCAGACTTGACGACTTCCAGCCTCCCGAACAAGCCGGTTTCCGAAAGGGCTTTAGCACCATAGACCACATACATACCCTTCGGCAAATTGTACAGAAGTCCGAAGAGTACGATTTGCCACTATGTCTGGCGTATGTGGACTATGAGAAAGCCTTTGATTCCGTCGAAATTTGGGCGGTGCTGCAGTCCCTTCAGCGGTGCCAAGTTGACTGTCGGTATATCGAAGTGTTGAAGTGCTTGTACAGTAGGGCTACGATGGCTATCCGAGTACAGAACCAGAGTACGAAACCTATCCAATTGCAGAGAGGTGTAAGACAGGGTGACGTCATATCCCCGAAACTCTTCACCGCTGCATTGGAAGACGTTTTCAAGCTTCTGGACTGGAAAGGATACGGTATCAACATCAATGGCGAGTACATCACTCACCTTCGATTTGCCGACGATTTAGTCCTTATGGCAGAATCACTGGAGGACCTAAGCACTATGCTCAATGACCTCAATGGTGTTTCCCAACGGATAGGTCTTAAGATGAACATGGACAAAACAAAGATCATGTTTAATGTCCATGTCACACCTATGCCGGTAGTTGTTGGGAACACTAAGCTCGAAGTTGTTGACGAGTATGTTTACCTGGGACAAATAGTCCGACTAGGTAAGTCCAACTTCGACCGAGAGGTCAATCGACGGATTCAACTCGGCTGGGCAGCGTTCGGGAAGCTACGACACATCTTCTCGTCAGGTATACCTCAAACCTTGAAACCAAATTGTACAACCAGTGCGTGTTGCCAGTGATGACTTACGGAACTGAGACGAGGTCCTTCACTGCTGGCCGTATGAGAAAGCTCAAGGTCGCTCAGCGAGCTATGGAGAGGGCTATGCTCGGAGTTTCTCTGTGTGATAAACTTAGGAATGAGGATATCCGCAGTAGAACCAGAGTAACCTACATAGCCCAACGGATTAGTAAGCTGAAGTGGCAGTGGGCCGGCCATATAGCTCGAAGAACCGACAACCGATGGGGAAGAAAGGTTCTCGAGTGGCGGCCTCGTACCGGTAGGCGAAGTGTAGGGCGTCCCCCCACGAGATGGAGTGACGACCTGGTAAGACATGCAGGAAGTCGATGGATGCAGGTGGCTCAGGACCGTGCTTTGTGGCATATTTTTGGGGAGGCCTACGTTCAGCAGTGGACTTGTGAAGGGCTGTAATGATGATGATGAAACTCAAAAATGACTGCGCTTCCACCTAGTAAGACCTTATCAATTGACTTCTTATTTTCAGATTGTTGCTCTCGCGTTGATAGCAGTAGCAGCTGCAAGTTCTGGTAAGTATTGAATCTCTTTGATAAAATGAATTGCATATTTTATATTAGCCTACACTCAAATTCTTGCCAATATACCACACACTTTTACCAATTTTTGCCACGTTTGGCAGACGTATGGGACGTGCAGTTTTTTGCAATTTTTAGATGACATCAGAAAGATGCTGCTACCCATCTCCTGTTTCATTTATATTAGTCGCCTCCCGCACGGGATGATGACTGCGCGACTACACGTTTGGAATATTGTAAAATTTTGAATTCATTCAAGCACTTTATACTGCACACAATATGATCCTACTGAAAATGTTGTAGCACGTGCTGAGTAGTTTTCTGGTGCATATTATTCTTACTTATTCTAGATTCTAGTATATTTGATTCTATTTACTATTTTATTAAAAAATTGTACATCGAATAGAATTATTAAGAAAACTTTAAAATACTAACGGAATACGATGCGGCATAAGTAATAATAAAAGGTTTCTTAAAGAAGTTTATCTTACATTAAGTGATAACACTACACTAATGGATCACATCCGTGCAAAGCCTGGGGCTAATTGTAGTCGATGATAGGTAATATCATAATTTCAAACAATAATTTCAGGCTTGAGCGGTGGAATTGGCGGCTCAGGGATTAGCCAAGGCAGCAGAGGTTTCGGCCAAGGAGGTGGATATGGATCCGGCCTTGGTCGCGGACTTGGTTCCGACTTTGGTGGCGGACTTGGTAGCAGCGGTTTGGGTGGCCGACAATCTGGTTTCGGAGGTGGATTAGGATCTGGACATGGAGGTAGCCGTTTCGGAGGACAAGGCGGCCGAGGTATCGGCCAAGGAGGACTAGGAGGAGGTTACAGGAGTGGTTGATTCGGTCATGGAGGTCTCGGTTTTGGATATTAAAATATTTTATTCATATTAAAACTATTTTATGTCACCTTAAATTTGTGCAATCTGTAATTTAAAATAAATATATATTCCAAGACGCCTTAATTAGGTACTCATTTTATTTTCTTTTAGTGGTGAGAGTCGTTTTCTGTTTAGAAGTTTGTCTGGGTGAGTATCACCCTCTAACATATGTATTTCTGCCACCAACCAACAATGGACAGTCTTATGTTGCGATGTTACCACTACCTACCATTACAGCCTATCAAAAGTCCACGTCTGGACTTGCTTAGAAATCTCCTCTACAGACTGCCTCAAGCGGGGGTTTATTTGACATAGTTGCCACGCTTTGCAAACGAATTGGCAATCCCAGTTTGCAATTTTTGCTCTCAGAACGAGCTGCTGCCTATCCCCTGGTTCAGTTTCCCCTGTCGCCTATGAGGACATCCACGGGATGTAACGGGTAGTGCATATTTTTACATCACCAGTAAATTGTTAAACGGTTCTTATCTTAAATTGCGTATAATATATAGACAGTGTGTCAGCCGATTATAGAGAGATATTCCATCTTAGTCCTCCGCAGTGACGAAACATCTGTGACCTTTAACAAAGTCCACAATATGTAATACTGCGACAAAACCCTGCCATAATAATCTGTAACACGCTACGACGGCACTCTTTTTTAAAAATATTCTTTATCAATGTAATACGATACACTATGTTACAAAATCTGTTTGTGTAGATAAAATTGAAGCGTCTGTCTGTAATATAGAAATAACTGCCCTAAAATAAGGTGATAAAATAAGGGGTAATTTGCATGACATTAAGACAATGTCTCCAGCCAAAGTTAAGCCATTCCAAAGAGTAGCCTGTACAGACAGACAGCCAAACGAAAATTTTAAAACGGTTACTCAAATCATATGTAATAGAACAATATTAAAGTAGATTCACTAGCGTCTTCTCTATCTACTTTGTTTATAACAAGAATTAGCTTTAAATATTTGCTCCGGCTATAGATGTTTATTTATGTGCAATATAAGTATGTATAAAGTATAAACACTTCCACGGCAGGTATAGGAGAAATTCCAAGGTCATAACGTTTCTTTTTTAACTTAAATATGTATTTAAAACATCTATATTTTAAATAAGATACATGGAATGTATTCAATTTATCGATGTTTGATTAAAAATTTTGAATAAGAATCAATATGCAGACGCGTTGTCACCTATGAAAACTAAAATGGTGTGCTTTTTTTCCAATAAAAAGGGTCTCCAGTTCTCCAAAATCGCATCACAAAACACAGTAGCACGATGCTAAACTGCTGCTGTCTATAGGCCACGGCATTCACTTACCATCAGGTGGACTGTGTGCTCATTTGTCACCTTTATTCTATAAAAAAGGCCTATATTCCGCAGTGAATATGATAATAATGTTTACAGTTTTCTAAGGAAATAAATAAAATAAGTAACGTGAATATTGCCATGTAGTGGCGGTTAAGAATATCCACCACCCCATATCTTCTCGTGGGTGTCGTAAAAGGCGACAAAGGGAAACAGGCAGGAGATTGGCAGCAGCATCTTCCTGATAACAGCAAAAGTACAATAAAAAACTGCGGTTACCAACCCGCTTGCCAAGCGTGGCACCTATGGCAAATACCCCCCAATGATTAGAGCAACAAAGACACGGCCCCCAGTCCCCGGTGGCCCCGCTATTCCTGGCTACGGTGGCGAACATGATAACGGCGGGGCAAGGGGTGCTAAGAATCTCCGGTGGAGGTTCGGTTGCCATCTAAGACGACTCGACCTGGCAACATACAACGCACGCACCCTGAGGACTGACGAGAAGATCGTGGAGCTGGAAGAAGAGATAGACAAGTTACGCTGGCACATTATAGGATTATCCGAAGTCCGAAGAGAGGGGGAGGACACGGTAATCCTCGAATCCGGCAACTTGCTCTATCACCGGGAGGGCGACCATCTGTCCCAAGGAGGTGTCGGATTTATCGTCCACAAGTCTCTCGTTAACAACGTTGTAAAGATTGAGAGTGTGTCGACGAGGGTTGCGTACCTTATATTCAGAATCACCAAACGGTATTCGCTGAAGGTCATACAGGTTTACGCACCAAACTCGGCACACCCCGATGAGGAGGTGGAGGAAATGTATGAGGATATCTCTAGAGCCATCATCATCATCATCATCATTACAGCCCTTCACAAGTCCACTGCTAAACATAGGCCTCCCCCAAAGAATGCCACAAAACACGGTCCTGAGCCACCTGCATCCATCGACTTCCTGCATATCTTACCAGGTCGTCACTCCATCTAGTGGGGGGATGCCCTACACTTCGCCTGCCGGTACGAGGCTGCCACTCGAGAACCTTTCTTCCCCATCGGTTGTCGGTTCTTCGAGCTATATGGCCGGCCCATTGCCACTTCAGCTTACTAATCCGTTGGGCTATGTCGGTCACTCTGGTTCTACTGCGGATATCCTCATTTCTGAGTTTATCACGTAGAGAAACTCCGAGCATAGCCCTCTCCATAGCTCGCTGAGCGACCTTGAGCTTCTTCATCCGGCCAGCAGTGAAGGACCACGTCTCAGTTCCGTATGTCATCACTGGCAACACGCACTGGGTGTACAGTCTCGTTTTCAAGTTTTGAGGTATACCTGACGAGAAGATGTGCCGTAATTTCCCGAACGCTGCCCAACCGAGTTGGATCCATCGATTGACCTCTCGGTCGAAGTTGGACTTACCTAGTCGGACTATTTGTCCCAGGTAAACATACTCGTCAACCACTTCGAGCTTAGTGTTTCCAACAACTACCGGCATAGGTGTGACACGGACATTAAACATGATCTTTGTTTTGTCCATGTTCATCTTAAGACCTGTCCGTTGGGAAACACTATTGAGGTCATTGAGCATAGTGCTTAGATCCTCCAGCGATTCTGCCATAAGGACTATATCGTCGGTAAATCGAAGGTGAGTGATGTACTCGCCATTGATGTTGATACCGTATCCTTTCCAGTCCATAAGCTTGAAAACATCTTCCAATGCAGCGGTAAAGAGTTTCGGGGATATGACGTCACCCTGTCTTACACCCCTCTGCAATTGGATAGGTTTCCTACTCTGGTTCTGTACTCGGATCGCCATCGTAGCTCTACTGTACAAACATTTCAGCACTTCGATATACCGACAGTCAACTTGGCACCCCTGAAGGGACTGCAGCACCGCTCAAATTTCGACGGAATCAAAGGCTTTCTCATAGTCCACATACGCCAGACATAGTGGCAAATTGTACTCCTCGGACTTCTGTACAATTTGCCGAAGGGTATGTATGTGGTCTATGGTGCTAAAGCCCTTTCTGATACCGGCTTGTTCTGGAGGCTGGAAGTCATCAAGTCTGCGCGCAAGACGATTCGTAATGACTCTCGAAAACAGCACGTAGACGCGGCTCAGAAGGGATATCGGTCTGTAGTTCTTCAAGAGAGCGTTGTCACTTTTCTTGAATAACAAGACCACCGCACTTCTGCTCCACGCCTCCGGTGTAATGCCACCATGGAGGACGGAATTAAAGAGCTTCTGAAGGACTTCAAGTACCGGTCTTCCACCCGCTTTCAGAAGCTCCGCTGTAATTCCATCCTCGCCTGGGGCCTTGCCGTTTTTAAGGTGCTGGAGAGCCATTCTAATCTCGCTCAGACTGACGTCCGGGATATCATCGGAATAATGTCGGATAAGACTCGCTCTTGGATCGTTACTCACACTTGCGTGCGGCTCCAACGATGACGTGTACAGCTGCCCATAGAACCTCTCAATCTCACTCAAAATCTCAGGTGCCCCGGAAATGATGCTGCCACATTCGGTCTTCAGCCTTGACAGTTGGCTCTTTCTGGCAGACAGATCTCTGGCAAAGACTTTGGAGCCTTGGTTCCGCTCGATCGCTTCTTCAATACGAGCTGTATTGAAGTTGCGTAAGTCCTGCCGCATGCATTTGGAGATCTGTCTGTTCAGTTGCGTGTATGCTGTCAAATCTGTTGAAGAATGTAGCTCCATCTCCTGTCTAACGGCCATGAGATTGAGAGTGTGATCGGAGAGTTTTTGCATTCTTCTGCGGCGGGCCTTGCAGAACTTAGCTCCGACCACATTGACAGTTTCCACGAGCTTCTCATTCATATCGTCCACTTCATTGCAGTCTTCTAGGCACTAAAAACGGTTTTGTAGCTCGAGCTGAAAGATTTCGGGACTTTGGAACAGAGCACGAGGGGGACGGAGTGTTGACTTCATTAGACGAGACCTCTCCAACTTAAGTGCCACCCTGAGGACTGACGAGAAGATTGTGGAGCTGGAAGAAGAGATAGACAAGTTACGCTGGCATATTATAGGATTATCCGAAGTCCGAAGAGAGGGGGAGAGGTCTCGTCTAATGAAGTCAACGCTCCGACCCCATCGTGCTCTGTTCCAAAGTCCCGAAACCTTTCAGCTCGAGCTACAAAACCGTTTTTAGTGCCTGGAAGACTGCAATGAAGTGGACAATATGAATGAGAAGCTCGTGGAAACTGTCAATGTGGACGGAGCTAAGTTCTGCAAGACCCGCCGCAGAAGAACACAAAAACTCTCCGATCACACTCTCAATCTCATGGCCGTTAGACGGGAGATGGAGCTACATTCTTCAACAGGTTTGACAGCATACAGGCAACTGAACAGACAGATCTCCAAATGCATGCGGCGAAACTTACGTAATTTCAATACAGCTTGTATTGAAGAAGCGATCGAGCGAAACCAAGGCTCCAAAGTCTTTGCCAGAGATCTGTCTGCCAGAAATAGCCAACTGTCAAAGTGAAGACCGAGTATGGCAGCATCGTTTCTGGGGCACCTGAGATTTTGAGTGAGATTGAGAGGTTCTATGGGCAGCTGTACACGTCATCGTTGGAGCCACACACAAGTGTGAGTAACGATCCAAGAGCGAGTCTTATCCGACACTATTCCGAAGATATCCCGAACGTCAGTTTGAGCGAGATTAGAATGGCTCTCCAGCACCTTAAAAACGGCAAGGCCCCAGGCGAGGATGGAATTACAGCGGAGCTTCTGAAAGCGGGTGGAAGACCGGTACTTGAAGTCCTTCAGAAGCTCTTTAATTCCGTCCTCCATGGTGGCATTACACCGGAGGCGTGGAGCAGAAGTGCGGTGGTCTTGTTATTCAAGAAAAGTGACAACGCTCTCTTGAAGAACTACAGACCGATATCCCTTCTGAGCCGCGTCTACGTGCTGTTTTCGAGAGTCATTACGAATCGTCTCGCGCGCAGACTTGATGACTTCCAGCCTCCAGAACAAGCCGGTATCAGAAAGGGCTTTAGCACCATAGACCACATACATACCCTTCGGCAAATTGTACAGAAGTCCGAGGAGTACAATTTGCCACTATGTCTGGCGTATGTGGACTATGAGAAAGCCTTTGATTCCGTCGAAATTTGAGCGGTGCTGCAGTCCCTTCAGCGGTGCCAAGTTGACTGTCGGTATATCGAAGTGCTGAAGTGTTTGTACAGTAGAGCTACGATGGCGATCCGAGTACAGAACCAGAGTACGAAACCTATCCAATTGCAGAGTGGTGTAAGACATATGTTGTGATGTGGTGATGTTATATACTCGAAACTCTTAATCTTGGAAGACGTTTTCAAGCTTCTGGACTGGAAAGGATACGGTATTAACAGCAATGGCGAGTACATCACTCATCTTCGATTTGCCGACGATATAGTCCTTATGGCAGAATCGCTGGAGGACCTAAGCACCATGCTCAATGACCTCAATAGTGTCTCCCAACGAATAGGTCTTAGGATGAACATGGACAAAACAAAGATCATGTTTAATGTCCATGTCACACCTATGCCAGTAGTTGTTGGGAGCACTAAGCTCGAAGTTGTTGACGAGTATGTTTACCTGAGACAAATAGTCCGACTAGGTAAGTCCAACTTCGACCGAGGCGGTCAATCGACAGATTCAACTCGGCTGGGCAGCGTTCGGGAAACTACGACATATCTTCTCGTCAGACATACCTCAAAACCTTAAAACGAAATTGTACAACCAGTGCGTGTTGCCAGTGATGACTTACGGATCTGCGACGTGGTCCTTCACTGCTGGCCGTATGAGGAAGCTCAAGGTCGCTCAGCGAGCTATAGAGGGGGCTATGCTCGGGGTTTCTCTGCGTGATAAACTTAGAAATGAGTATATCCGCAGTAGAACCAGAGTAACCGACATAGCCCAACGGATTAGTAAGCTGAAGTGGCAGTGGGCCGGCCATATAGCTCGAAGAACCGACAAACGATGGGGAAGAAAGGTTCTTGAGTGGCAGCCTCGTACCGGTAGGCGAAGTGTAGGGCGACCCCCCACGAGATGGAGTGACGACCTGGTAAGATATGCAGGAAATCAATGGATGCAGGTGGCTCAGGACCGTGCTTTGTGGCATTCCTTGGGGGAGGCCTATGTTCAGCAGTGGACTTATGAAAGGCTGTAATGATGATGATGATGATGATGAATGATGAATATTTATAAAGCTTAAGATGCAGTACGATTATAGGGAACTATTTCTTTTACTTTTAGAGTTAACCTCGGGGGATGAGAGCTTTGGAAAACCAACGTTTAATTATTTTTACCGTCTCGTTGGTCCAGTAATTCTAAGCATGACTGCTGGTCACGTGATCCCGGGTTGGGATCCCGTCTTGAACTAAATTCAGTCAATGGCTTTTCTATAAAAAAAATTGTCACTAGCCCGTAGTCGTGAGGTGGACGGTGTTTCACCATCATATCTCGGAAAGGCGTTGGTTCTGCGCCTGATCTCTCTCTGGTCGAGTCGGATTTTCGTGCCCTTTGGACTGTTAGAGTGAGGGAATAGGGAGTTTATATGTGAAAATTTAGCGAACACTTTCGTGCCCTAAATTTCTGTCCTGCGCAAACGGCAAGTCTTTGTTAAGATACATAATATTACAATAGCATTTGACAATGGCGTTAGAGAATTTTTTTTTCACGAGTGTGTCCTAGAAGGCGATTATAAGAAATGCCACAAAAATCTAATCGTTTACCGTTACAGCCTATCAAGAGTCCACTGCTGAACATCGGCTTTCCTCATATAGCTACATTAGGGTTCCCCCCTATTGTTACATGAAAACACAATGTATCTCTCCAGTAATACACATTATATTACATTAGATTGTTTAGTGAGATTGCCAAGTCAAATTATTTATTTAAAATATAAAAGATTTTTAGTATTGAGTAATTGTGGTCACTATAAGATGTTGTTAGGTTAGCTAATTACGTAATAACTTAAGACAGAAGGACCCTTAAGTAGGGACTGAATAAATTAACCGACTTGGTATTACATGGATCTCACAATTTTTTACAGTAGAAGAACTGCGTTGCGAGACTTAGTTTTTTTTACAAGTTATGTTTTTGATGGCATCATTTTTTCTTCTTATTTTCATGGCTTCTCTTGAAAAATGTTTACTAATATTTAATTATTTAATTTTTTTTGTACTGCTTGACGCCGGTGATTCGTATTTTGCTACCGAAATAAATTGTCAAATAAATAATACAATAAAAAATAAAAAATAAATATTATTGAACGGGATGATTTACAATAGTGAAATTCAAAAGGCTTCCTAAAGTTTAAAATCTAATTATCCAACCATATTAATCCGACCAACTGACGTGCAACAAAGTGAAATTATTTTCAATTATAATCTAAATAAATAATCTTATACTACGTCAGAAGTATTAATTGAAATCTCTTGCTATTGATGTACTCTTTTTAAAGCTGGTGGATGTCATTTAAGTTAAGCGGAACGAGATTTTTTGATTTGGTAACAATAAAGTCAGTAGAGGATAATAATGTTAATAAGATAATATAATACATCTCCGCTTCGCGTTCGATGTGTGCAATTATATATTTTTGTAAGTATCTAATTTTTAAAATGGCAATCTATAACATCATGAAAGAAAGAAACAGCGATATCTTTTTCTCACTATATTTTAGTCACCCGACCCACACATAAACAAAATTATGATTGTGTTCAAATTTCTCATATTTCATACAAAGAGGGATCACCCTGCTGCTACCTATCTCCTGGTTTGATTCTCTCTGTCGCCTCTTTGACACCTATGGGACGTAATGGATATTCTTACATCGCCACTACACATTTACGCCAGACGTAAAATACTCGGACCGGGATCGTGTGGCATAAAATTATAACGTTAGCAAATTATATACGCTTACGTAACCTAAAAATCCGAAAGATCTTAAAATAATTCAAAAAAAAACAACAAACAACAATGCACGCATGAAATTGCGCGCTATAATGGTATCTATTTTCTTACAAATACGAACAAAAATAGAACGGATGGCTGATTTTGAGAATGGCTGCAACACTTGTATTTTTTCTACAAGAAAGAGATTATTATACGTACGAGGTTAAGGTGAGATCGCCACTTCCCAGTGAACTTTGCTATAAAAGTCGTGAGATTTTATGTTTGTATTATTCACAGACGTAGCTCGTTCATAATTCAACATAAGTATTCTAAAATTGTAACATACGAGTATCTTCTTATATCAAAATGACTAAATTCTTGGTAAGTACATAATAAATAAATTTTATCTTAAATTAATTAATAAAAAAAAATAAACAAAAGGTATAAATATAACTTAAAAATGACTGTGCCTTTTCAATAGACTTCATATTTTCAGATTGTTGCTCTGGCGTTGATAGCAGTAGCAGCTGCAAGGCCTGGTAAGTTATAATATGTAAATTAAATCTTTTTGATAAGTATATTCCATATTTCTAAGCCCAAACATAATATTTTTCTTCAATCCTTTCATGAATATTTTATAGTCAAAGACGTGATAACACTGACATTCATGATCGCATTATTGATGCTGATTTGCCACATACTCGATGATAAAGACAAATCTCGTGAGGAAAAGGCTTGGTAGCGCATTACTTAAGCGTTTGACTGCGGCGCTACGGGTACGCAGGTTCAAATCCTACACGGAACAGAATATTTGTATATTATTGCTCCGGGTTTGAATGTTTATCCATTTACAATTTATAAACATCCAAACCCGATGCAAGAGAAAACGTGTGGGTAACGTTTTCTTAATTATAATTAAAACCTCTTTAAAATTTAAAAATATCGTATTTATGTGAAAACAGTCAGACATGAATTTTGAAACAAGCATTCGAGTAACGCGACGGACTTTTCCCTGCTTCAAAAACCCTACTTTATATTATACTGCACGTAATATGGTTCTTCTGAAAATGCTGTATGTAGCACGTGTTTTTGATTCTTACTTATTCTAGATATATTTGATTCTATTTACTATTTCATTAAAAACTATTTAACCCGCCTGAGACTTCGTTCGCGTGGGCAAATGCCGACTCTAAAAATTCTTTTACCACGAAATGGTTACTCTATCCCTGAGCGAATCCAAATGAGTTTAACTTTTTAAGAATACTTTAATTCGTATAATCGCTAAAGGATAGACAGATACTAAACCAACGGTGAACTTTACATACACCACGGCATTTTCCTTGCGTTTAACGTATTTATATTTGTGGTATAGTTAATTTCTGAACGAAAGGTCCGATTCGAATAATTTAAGGAGGAATTTACATCCTCTCAAACAACCTTAATTATATAATATAAATATGGATAATAAGCTTTAACACGAAACTGCTAATTTGATCGTCTTTAATTTCTTAAAGAAGTTTTTTGTACATTATGTGATAACACCACACCAGTGGAAATCACCCATGCAAACCATGAGGCAAATGGTAGTCGATGATAGATAATATCATAACTGCAAACATTAATTTCAGGCGGCGGATTTGGCCACGGCAGCGGTGGTTTTGGCCAAGGAGTTGGATTTGGTTCGGGCTTTGGTGGCGGGCTTGGATACGGCGGCGGCAGCGGTTTCGGTGGCGGACATTCTGGTTTCGGCGGTGGATTTGGATGTGGACATGGAGGCAGCGGCTTCGGAGGACACGGCGGCTAAGGTTTCGGTGGTTATGGACTAAGAGGGGGTCACAGTAGTGGGGGATTCGGTCATGGAGGTCACGGTTTTGGACATTAGAAAATTTTATTAACATTGAAACTATTTGATGTTACCTTAAGTTTGTGCAATCTGTAATATAAAATAAATATATGTTCCAAGACGCCATAATTACTTAAAATATATTTGCGTTTCACTTATTTTATTTATTGCATGCCGAGCGCAAAGCGCGTGGGTATGTTCTACTAGCGCCTAAAAATCAAGATTCCAACGTTTTGTCGCATGAAATCGTATCCAGCAATCATATTATACATATAAATAATATAAAAAGCACATTGTTTGAAATATAAATAAAAATTATTGTTGAACTAATTAATATTTTTTTCAAATCGATTAATTGCTATTTTTAAATAAAAAAGGGCTTTTAGTGGCTTATGGTGTGGATTTATCATGTCCCCAAGGCTTGTAAACACGTTAACTTTCGAAAATATCAACTGTTTAACTCAATCTATTTTTTAATCTCTTCATCTATCATGTGGGAAGCCACTGAATGTAAATGGCAGTGTAATTTTGTTTTGTTTAGCTATAATTAATTTTTGTAGGCTCCAAAATGGCGAAATTTTCGTTGATTTGGTAGCCTTGTATGTAAATTATTTCTGTAAATGGGGAGCTACAGCCACAGAGTAGTTTACTCACTAACTCAGTTCGGCCTCAGTTTCCAGTTTATAAAATGTACTCTGTGGCCTCAGTCGTAGTGCTGTCGAAATGTAAATCCAGGGTGGCGATTGCAATAGGTATAAATTTTTTCATCATGGTTGTCATTTTCATGGTTTTCGAGAGTGTTGAAGCCGATAGTGCTGTCGAAATGTAAATCCAAGATGGCGGCTGCAATAGGTATCAATTAATTCATCATGGGTGTCATTTTCATGGTTTTCGAGAGTGTTGAAGCCGATAGTGCTGTCGAAATGTAAATCCAAGATGGCGGCTGCAATAGGTATCAATTAATTCATCATGGGTGTCATTTTCATGGTTTTCGAGAGTGTTGAAGCCGATAGTGCTGTCGAAATGTAAATCCAAGATGGCGGCTGCAATAGGTATCAATTAATTCATCATGGGTGTCATTTTCATGGTTTTCGAGACAGTTGAAGCGGATAAGGTTGTTGAAATGTAAATCCAAGATGGCGGCTGCAATAGATATCAATTTTCCCATCGTGGATGTCATTCTCATGGTTTTTGAGGGTGTTGAAGCCGATAGTGCTGTCAAAATGTAAATCCAAGATGGCGGCTGCAATAGATATCAATTTTTCCATCATGGGTGTCATTCTCATGGTTTTCGTGGGTGTTGAAGCCGATAGTGCTGTCGAAATGTAAATTCAAGGTGGCGGCTTAAGTAGGTATAAATTTTTTCATCATGCGTGTCATTTTCATGGTTTTCGAGGGTGTTGAAGCCGATAGTGCTGTCGCAATATTTAAATAAACTACTTTAAAAAAATTCCGTGTAATCATGTTATACGTAATTTTTTTAATACGAAGGCATGATCAATTGGATTTACCAATATTTAAAACTTCTTATAAACACATGGTATATAGTCGCACTTATTGTCACACTTGGGGTAATACAGAGATAGAATGAATAATGTCCTCCAGACCGAATTTCGGTCACGGCGGCCAGTCTCAACGGAGACTAGCCATCGGCGCAGGACAGGATTATAGTGCCCAAGTGTAATGCGCAAGCACAGGAGCACTATCTACTCCCTCACTCTCGTAGTCTGATGGGAAGTACGTACACGACCAGAGAGAGATCAGGCGCAGTACCAAAGGCTTTACGTGCTTTCTGAGGGACTGGGGTAAGACACCACCAACTTCCTGACTCCGGGCAAATACTGAGAATTTCTTGACGGGAATCAGAATCAGAATCAGAATTTTTATTTGCGTAAGAACATGGTATATAAAGGTGGTACATGTTAAAAAGGTGCACATGTCTCGCTATTACAAATAGCATGCAAAATTAATATTATTATCTTTCAAGTATAAACATAAAAATAATATCACAAAGTTTAACTCGCATTACAATAAATTACATTACATTAATGATAAATTAAAATATGTCATATAAAATTAATAGTGTTAGGGATTGCTGTGAATAAAGTTTTTAATGTCATACGAGTATATTTTTTGTCAATGAGCCACTTAAATAATTTTGAATTAAGTTGATTAATATTTAAATTTTTGATGTCAGTAGGAACTATATATATAGGTATATTATATATAATATATATTATATCGTTAAGGCTTTAACTAGCCTGAATGACCTCGACGAAACGGCGATCGCAGAGATTTTAGCCGATGTCAACACCGTCTAGCAACTACGTTCTGTATTACTTATAAAAGTGCAAAGATTAATAGACTGCAGAGATGACAATTATATAAGTGACATACTGCCTGTTATGCTTGCGCATCACTGAGAATTATGTCGCGGTTACGCATCTTCAATTACATTGCACGGTGTGGTGCTGTAGCTTTGTCCGGTAGGCATCACGAGCTATCAAGTATTCAAGTTTCAAGTACGTAAGAATTTTTATTATATATGTTAAATCGTATTTATTTGTGTCGTATTAAAAATATGTCGTCAAAGCGTTCGCTGTAAATTTTCCCGGGTTTGATCCCCGACAGCACGAATGAAATTTGTAATTGCAATTTTCGTCAACACGCATTGGGGAAGCACGGCGGGCATTTCCTTGCCCTAAAACCCTCTCACAAATAAAAAAGAGTCCTGTGCCCAGTAGAGGGACTTGTATAGCCTAATACTTTACTTTGTAGCAATATTTATATTCGTTTCAGATATAGAAGGGTACCTTATGCTGACAAAAATATCATGTGGAGGCGACGAAAACGTAAAACATCTTTGTACCTAGATAAAACGTTCGAAAGATTGTCATTGTCATTTCATACGCCACATTTTCTATAGAGCGTAGAACATTGCAGATAGGGTAAAATAAAAAATAACCGATATATTATGGGAACTATTTATTAATAATATATACATTTATAGGTATTTATAATAAAAATAATGAACAAGTTGCAAGGTTCAACTAATAATGTTTTTTGTAAACACAATCGTAAAATTCCTGTTTTAATTTTTACCAATGATTAATTGATGAAACGTAGTCAAGATCACTTCATATAAAATATATTTAATTAAGATTGACACGTGACCTATTTGGCCTTCTACTTACAACTCGGCGGAAATTTGAAAAGAAGATTTTGTCTTTTCACACAAGTATTGTTTACATCTGGCGTGGTTTCGAAAAGCGTGATTAAGTGACAGCGGTATATAATCAATAAAATACTGAACTTTTTTGAAATTTATTTTTTTGTTTATTTTTGTTATATCTTCTTAAAAACTGACGCCATCTCACTATAAAATTTTTGTTTTTTTTTTTGTAACGCATAAGGATAAGTTAGACTAAGTTAGATTAACGTGGATAAGTTTATATTTTTTTTAATTTTATCGCAAAATTTCCGCAATAATTTATTACCTTTTCTACAGTGATTCCCTCCTCTTAGTTTCGGCGTGACTGTAGGATGTTATAGTGAGTCACCGTCAGTTACTAAGCGGCCATAAATCATTATATGTATGTATAGACATACATATATACATTTTTTGATTTTAATATTTATGTTTTTTGAATTTTGATTGATTTTTTGAAACCTGGTAAAATTATTTTTTTCCGTACCAATTGATGGGCCTGAGTATAATGCCAGTTATGCTCTTTGGCTGAAGTTATTTTTTATTTTATGCTCGATTGCAGACAAAACAATATTGAGTGCGCATTTCTAAAACAAAATTTTACCTCTTCTCCTTCTAATAATAGCTCCTGCACCTAACACGGCAGAATAGTTATTATTATCTATAAGACCATTTGCGAAAACAGTTTTTGTTAACAGTTATAAGTGTAACATTTTATCAGCTGCTTTGTTTATAGTGCCTTGAGCAACACTTTGCCGGTTTCTGTACAGAAAATGATGCTGGCTTTGCAAATATGGATGGCCGCTACCACTGAATATAATACCCGCAAAACTTTAATTATCATTTGCATATAATTCTAAATAGCACTTTTTATACAATAAAGTAAACTTTTAGATCAGTCCATTTTGTTTTTCACTAATTAAGTAAAAAGTAAAACAATTATGTAATTATCACAATATAAAAGTCAATCATTTAGCCATGTGATAAAACTTTTAAGTGTGCCAGTCAAATATTAATGATGATATTCGGGTCATTATACTGGAAATAGTCTTTTAAATATTTTGTAATACAATTGATAATCTTCAGTATGATTGACCGTGTATATGACTTTTATAAGTCTATGTTATTTTTGATGAAAATTATTATTGCAGATAAAAGCCCTTTCACATTTATTTTAGTCTCGAATTAAATAAATCAAAATGAAAATAATAACATTGGCTATTTATAACTGATCTTTAAATGTAAAACACTGACTTGAAATTATATAATTATTGGCATTTTTTTAATTCATTGAACTTTTTTAAGATTTTGTTGAAACTCTACTGGTAAAAAAAAATATTATAAAAAAAATATTATAGTTCTTGATGAAAATAATGTATGCGCGTTACATCGCATCCCATCAAGAATTTCTAATGTAATTCTTGGTGTAAAGCTAAGACGTGATAATAACTGTAAACAATAGAATAACAAAATAATGAAAACATTTACATTTACATACAAAACATTTACAAAAATACTTGCTTTATAACCTTATAAATATTATTTGACCGTAATAAAATAAAATAAGGTAGTCTTCAGCATGAAAGTAAAAATAAATATTTTCGATTATTTTTGCAATATCTAACAGCCGGATCAGCGCGCGATTCTGATCCATCTAAAGATGCTAAATTTCAGCAAGCACTGTCAAATTCAATAGGAGTGACAGAAAAAACGGTTCTTGATATAGAAAGGTAAATAAATTATTTAACCTATA